CACACACACACACACACACACACACACACACACACAGCAGCAGCAGATGGCCAGGCCTGGTAGCCACAGCACCCGTTAACAAATTAGAATGTGCAGCTTTTATGAGCTGTTAACAAAGACTAAAAATTTCCTGCAAACAGGAGGTTCTGTGGCAGAAGAAGTGACACTACAATGAAATACTGAAGCACTAAAAGTGGAAACCTCTACAGAAAAAAGCACTCACAGTTTATTCAAGTCTAAAAACAAAAAAAAGCAACAGTGCTGAAGTTTCTGTAGTAGGAAAGTCCTGATCTCTTCAGTTGCAAACTTTGTAAGTCTTCACCTAGTTCCCATTTTTTACAGACAAACAGGCACAAACCTGACACAAATGAAATTTTTGATCTTTAAATATCAGTGGCGGATGCTGGTCTTTCAACAAGAGGAAGCTCAGTTTTGGCCATAAAATATGTGGGTTATAAATTTTAACCTTCATTCCTTTTCAAGAAAATGATCTGTGATCCTGTCACAGATTATTTTGTTTAGGTTGTAGTATTTATTCATTTCATTTTTGAAAACAAAACATTACACACAATAAAACAATACAAATAAAATAAAATGAAAGGCAGCAGAAGAAGAAAAACATCTTATGATATCTGCTCCTGTTTACACACAACAGTGTATTATATCTTTTTTTTTATTATTTTTTATTTTTTTCCATTTTAGGCTTGCAGACTTAGAGAAATCGCCTCAGTTAAATATACTGATTGATACTTGCACACACCAAAACCTGGACAAATATTTTTGCAGTGTTCTCTGTAATATATTGAAAGAGTATGTTTTAAATAAAATGACCAGTTCTGACATCCTGAGGTGCTGACTGGCTGCATGTGACAATGACAGATAAGTTCAGTCTGAATGCAGGAGAGAACAGTAAGTACTGGAACTTCGGCAGAAAAACTGTTCAGTTTAAAATTTTAAAACATTTGCTTGAATCTTAGCAACAAATTTTAAGTCCTGAGATGTGGATCAACTTAAACAGGATAAACTTACATGTTGTTGATAATAAAGCTACAAACCAGCAACAGCCGTTTTACCTGAGCGATACGCAGGATGGAGTCTCTGGTGATGTCAAAGTTTGGTGAATAGGTAATACACAGCAGGACCTACACACAACAGAGAGACAAATGAAATCTAAAAACACAACTTCAGACATTTCAAAGGTTTTGCAGAATAAAAAAGAGGAAAGCAAAACATACAAGCCTAATTTAACATATAAGCTCAATCTGTTAATTTTTGTTGAATTAACCTGGTAAAAAAACAAGAATACTGCTTTTTGTACAATTTAGTTCTCTCAACTACTTGTTTATTTACTATTTTTACCATTTGTTTCTCAAAACCTCCAACTTGATTAAGAATATGACTTTTGATTTTCATTATATATACATATATATATTTTTGACTTCTTACTCTACTTAGCTGAGCTTCCTTTAGCTTTTTTGCTAACATTTTGTTACATTTAGCAAGGTTAGTTTTGCAACTCTTATCTTTTAGCTTATCATTGCTGTTTTAGTTAACCTTATGCTACTGTTTTATCTAACAGTTGCCACTTTTAGCTTTTAGCTACTATATCACAGCTGTTAGCTTAAAGCTGCAATTTTGATGGTTTTATTTTTAGCTATTATTTGGTTGTTATTCTCTTTATTAGCTTTTAGCTGCGTTTTATTATCTTTATCTAGCATTTAGCTGCTTTTTCTTTAACCTACCATTTTGACTATTGTTGTTTTGCCAAGTTCAATTTGAAGCTACTACTCATTAGTTTTACCTTTCAGGTTGTTTGTTACTTTTATCTATAAGTTAAGTTGCTACTTTTAGCTTCCATCGTCTGCTTTTAAGCTTTTAGATTCTGTTCTCCTCCTTTTAGTTCCGGATTTGTATTTTGTTTTTTTTAGCTTGTGTTTATTTTGTCATAGCTTTAATAACTTAGCTTCAGCTTCAATGATTAAATGTTAGACATACAGCATCAGCATTCAGTCTGAATTTTCATAGAAAATGTGATACATTTGTTTCTATTAATGCTCCACATGCTGAAAATTTCCAAGACTATGCTTAAATGTGTTCATCACCAAACAGGCCGGTTTGTAGATACTTAGCATTTACCTTCATGACTTCCACTTGCAAGTCTTCATGCAGAGATGGGGTGACTCTGAGAGCCTCCAACATTTGGCTCAGCAGCTGTTTCTCCAACACCTCCACATTTGTCCCAACCCCTCCCATAAACCTGTCATCACACAGCAGCCTCTGACAGGAGACAGGAAGAAACTTCACTTTAATACAAGCTAAAACTGGTCAAGTAGATCAAACAAGAAATCACAAATAAAACAATAATGATCCGCATCTTTCTGTACCTGCATCCCAGCAAGGGCAGACTGTCCCAGTTTGGTGTTTTTGGATTCCAGAGCCATCTGGAGAGGCAGCAGACATCGCTCTCTGGAAGACACATTTACAGCATTTAATGGTACTCAAAACTAATCAATGATAGCTGACGAAAAACAAGTTATACATAATTTATTTTAATTCTTATTAATGATTACATAATTCATACAGAGAAACTGATGGGATTAGCTGAAGAATAACTTCACTTTGTTCAAGCAAATCTTTTTCTCAAAGGGGGAAAGCTGCAGTTCAACACAATGTCTGTTATATAACCCAGCCAGTGATCAAACAAAAACTCAAAGTCTCTATCTGTTCATTCGTTCTTCCTTTGTCTAGTTCTGTTACGCTCACTAGAACTGTCTCCATTCCATTATTTATGATTGACTGAGTCGTTATTTCTGCTTCTGATAAATACTGGGCTTTGTGTTGGTGCTCAGAGACTGAAGTGCCCAGATAGACCTGTTCAAACAGGCTGCATGAAGCTTCAGCTGGCAGGATAATTCAACACTTTAATAAAATTTTAGTCTATTTATGACCATGTGGAAAGCAAGAACTGAGCAGCCAAGAGAGCAGTGAGGACATCCAGAGCAGAAACAGACAGAAATTGAGCAGAATTATAAATAAAATCCATCGTCCGTCCACCAATCTCCAACATCATTTGATGAGAGGTGTGGTTACATCCTGGAAAGGATGTCAAACAATTGTCAATGCAGACCTTCCTTGCACCTCCAACTCCCTTCTGCATTTTAAGCTTGTATTTCTAAGTCATTCTTAGATTTATGTTAAAGATATCACAATATCTCCTCATTGCATATCTGATACTTTAGGATATGAAGTGTTTCATATCCTAAAGTACCTGTTTCTGGCAACAACAGGTTAAGTTATTGCTCATATTGAAAAATACTGTAGCAAGTCACATGCATCTCACATACACACCAATTAAAAAAATTAATGACCCAAAAATAGGGCTGCCACGATTAGTCGATTAGTCGATGACTAATCATGACTAATAATCAATTAGTCGTTTTGGTTTTTTTACTTTGTTTTTCTCTCCAAACTGCTTTGACACCTTCCACTGCCACATCTGCCTTCCTGTCCTCGACACACATGCACAGTAGTGGTAACTGGGGTAGGCCGTGGACGTCACAACACATTATACAGACAGGCTCTGGTATCATGGCTACCTGACAACAGAGCTCAAAAGTGTGGGATCATTTTAAGAAAATGAAAGAAAAACCTGTGTAATGTCTGCAAGGCAGAACTTGCATTGCACGGCAATTATTTTTAGTTAGCATTAAAGCTAATATCTAATGATAGTTATATAATAGGAGCTGCATTCTGGTGCGATAAGCTGTATGTTTTATATTGAATTAACGTGCGATCCAATTAGTCAACTAATCTAAAAAAATAATCGGTAATTAGTCTACTTTAAAAATAATCGTTTGTGGCAGCCCTACCCAACAACAACTTTGTTATGCTGTGTTACAATTCTGTTTGCAGTGTCACAGTATTGTGTGTACTTGTTTTTATTGGTTTATATTAGTTTTGCTGCCATTGCTTATCTTTTTTATTAAGTGAAGGCTGCAAATCAGAGGTATATTTAGTTGTGTCCTTGGCAAATGCACTACATAAATATGCAGTCCACAAAGGTTATGAGATTGCTGCTGCATGATATGTTATTGCATTCTTAAAGTATACAGGAGATATTTACACAAACACATTACAGTACATGTGCAATGAGATTTTACAATCCAGTGAGGGCCTTTTTGTGTGGATATTACATGCTCTCCATGCGCATGTGTGGGTTTTGTCCAAGTACATCAGTTTGCCCCTAGACCAAAAACAAGCACATAAGATACTTGTTAATTCTAAAGTGTCACTACGCAACTGAGAGCAAGAATGATTGTCTTATTTGTCCCTATATGGCCCTGTGATGGACTTGCTGTCCAGGGTGTTCTCCACGTCTCACCCAGCCCTGCAACTGCAAGAACAAAGAAATGAACGAACAAACGGATGGATGTGGTGTTGTAAAATTACCAACAATGTCTAATGAATGTATTATAACCAGTTGCAAACTGTGTCTAGTCACATGATGCAATACAAAGCATTTTTTACTTTTCAGTCTTCCAAAAACACAAACATGGGGGGGGGGGACAGTTGCTGCTATGGGTTTGATCTGGGCTTAACTTGAAAACAAGGACAACAAAAGACACACTGTCAGACTGAGATCTGGCAGAGTAGAAAAACAGAGCATCAACAAGAAGAAAACTGTGAGTTAGCCCATGGCTAGATGCAGACAGAAGACTGACATTCAGGCTCAAGCAAAGGCTCTTAAAAGAACTGAGACAATAAGATGCTGCAGCAACATCAGACAGGAAAACTTATTGCCACATCACCATAGCAAACACAATAACGGAAGCTTCTTGTGAATTTCATTTAATTTATTTAGGTCAAAGGACCTGACAATGCATAATCTCAATTGACAAACATTTTTTTTTACCAATTGGCAACTTTTTTCTATCCACAAGGTTTGTTCTAGACAGGAAAACTACATTTATGGTTGAAGTTAAAGGATAATAAGAATTTGTTTTACCAGGAATAATTGAATTATATGGAATAGATATTAAATCGAATTGTCGAAAACGCCTCTTCATTTTTAAGACTTATTCTATTAATAAATGAGATTTTGGACATTTTAACTGTAAATTTTGACTTGTAAGAATGTTACTGTGACAAAAAAAGATACATTTGATATCCAACACAGTAATTAGAGAGGAGCATACATGTCAAGTTGCCCAGATTGTTCGAAATTGACATTTTGCAGGTAAATGAATGTATCGATCAGTCTGCACAGATTTTTTGAAGTTTTACAGTTTTTGAAAAACTCAGTTTCAATTTTATTTTACATTTCACAGCCTGTAGGAGGTTTAAGAAAATCAAAAAATAACATCAAATAACCATCTTACCCGTTCTGCTGCTAGAAATAAGTTCTCCAGTCCTCTTTTCCTCCTGCTTTGTGAGACACCACCCCCCACCCCCACACGCATAGTGCGAGAAATAAAGATTTTTTTGCAAAAATTAAGTATTTCTTGGGCTCATTATACAGGTAAATGTCCAAAAGGGTTGATATGTATGAGTGTAATTTCATTATGTATTAAAACAGTCTGTTATACCCTATGGCAAGGAGTTCACGTAAGCGATTGAGACCCAGTCAAATGGGCAGGAGTGTGAGAGATGAGTGTGCAAGAAATACACTGTAAATGTTTGCAGAGAATAATGTGTGTGTGCACATTTCACTCTTTACTATCTGCTCTGTATACTGCAGGTCCCTGTCAAAGGGAGGCCTCCACTCCCTCAGCCCTTCTCCTTTTTCCACACCTGTGGGTCACCTCATAAAATTTAGCCACAGAAAACTTGTTCAAGCTGTAAAAACTCCAAAACTTTGTTTTCCTTTTTGTTCATTTATGCTTGTATAGCATTTTTGCTGAATATTGCTAAATAGATTCCAACATACAGCATGTGACTGAGACTAACAAATATTTGGAGCTTGCCAAATTTAGTATTTATTACATGGTTGTTGTAACTCACAGACAAACGGATGTTACTGGGAACTTCAACATTCCTCATAAGTAAACTATCATTTTAAAGTTTCCCGTAAAATGAGTTGAGAAAATAGAGATTCCTCTAGAGGATCGCTGTTCGACTTCAGGGCTGAAGTAAAACATTTGCATTATCAGGTGAGGAATTACATACATTCAAATTATACAACTTCTGTACAGCTTATCTAGTTGGATGGCAAAGCTAACTGAAAGTAAGCATTTCAAATGTCCTAACAAACACAAATGGACTACAGGTAGAGGTTTCCTGATTGGCTGCTGGACATTTGGGCCAGTAAAACACAAATTAAGAAAATACAACAAACTTTTTTTAACTTTTTGGAATAAAAACCAGGGGGAAAAAATGCTGATGGTGACATGACTTATTCTTCTTTATCAACAACTTCCTCTTGAGCTGTTGCACTCGTTTTCTTCTTTCACTTCATGTCAATCTTTTTTATTTTTAGGCAGTTACGAGGCATAGTGGAGAAACATGAAACAGATGCTCTACGTTACTCAACAGAGTGAGTGAGTTTGATGCCATCGACCTTGCTTGGCTGGGTTTTATCTGCTGGTTAGCTTCAGAAGCTGATGATGTTTGTCTCAGGTCCATAACTTGTGTTCCCCCCCCCCCCCCAACCCCCCTACGTAAATTTAGTAAACTTCATGCACAGCAAAGTGGTGACCACAGCTATTTTCCAAAATCAGAGGAAGACAGAGAAAAAATTCTGCCGGCTTGGATAGAGGAGGTGGGTAGCGATTTTACAGCTTTAGTAGCTGTTGTTTGTTTTTGACACAATCTCCCTTCCTGTGTGTCCGTAAAGTTTTTTTCCCCCTACGTAAATTTTGTAAACAAGGTGTGCAGCGAGGGGGTAACCGCAGTTATTTTATGAAGCCAGAGGAAGAAAAAGAACAAATTCTGCAGGCCTGGATAGAGGAGATGAGTAATGATTTTACAGTCGTTTTTATTGTGTGTTGTCACAATCTCCGGTCCTGGTCTGTCTGTGATTTTTGTTTCTCTATGCAAATTTCATAAACTTCCGTAAGTTGATTTATTGATGTTCTATCAAACATATTTTCTATTGATACTGTCAATGTGTCTATTGCGAGATATATTATTGTTTTCTTGCCCAGCCCTACTTCTCAAGCAGAATTTGTATTATCTTATTAATTTATTCTAAAAACATTTTGCTGCAACCTATTGCCAGTGAAGCTTGGTAATGCATTTTAATTAACTTACTAATTAACTTAAAAATACTGTAAGATGAGGCTTGGATGTAGCTCAGCTGTGTGGCAGTCTATGATATTAGAGTGATCTGAAAGCAGCACTGTAGACTGTATATTAAATAGGGGTGTAAGAAAAAAATCGATACACTGAAATATCGCAATATTTCATTTCCCGATACTGTATCGATATTCTAAAGCCCTGTATCGATTTTTTTATTAAGGTTTAAAATGTCAACTTTCCTGCCAGCCAT